GCGGCAGGGCCGGGGCTGCGTTGCCCGGAGCGATGGGGCTGGCAGATGCCAGCATTGGGGGCCGGGGCATTCGCCCTGCTGCTCATGAGGAGAGCGATGGGCCAGCGGGACCCTGGCTGCCACCCAGCAGAGCTCCTCTCCGAGGGGGTGGTCCTCAACTGCAGGGTCTCCTGTCTCCAACCCAACCGTGCCCTGCCATGGGGCAACCACCAGGCGCCCAGAGCTGCTCCCACGGGGCCCCTCAGCTCTGCCATTCTTTGGGCTGGCGTCTTCCCTGGGGGGCAACTGCCCCCAGCAACGGCGACCCCGCTGGGCCCCTGCACTGGGGTGGGAGTAGTTGCAAATCCAGCCCCCCCTCCGCCCCCAGCTCAGGAGCCACACGGTTACCTGGTGAGCAGTGCGCTTGCTGGATAGGTAACCGGCCCGGGGCAGGAACCCAGACCGGGCAGGCAGGGCCACAGCAGCCCTGGCCCCATGCGAGGACAGGCGGGACTGCGGCCCAACGGCCCCAGGAAGGTGCAGGGGGGACCCTGGTCCCAGCAGCCCCAGCCCCCCACAGCCTAGGCGCACCATGGGTGGGGGGGCACTCCAGCCCAGCCAGAGCAGCCCCCGCCCGCGGGATCACGGTGAGCCCGCTCCGGGCAGGGCTGGGCTGCTCCCGGCTCTGGCTCTGACGCGAGGAAGCAAGCCCAGGGCCGGGGCAGGGCTGCACTAGCGGGAGGCACAGAGAGCCCAGCCTGGCTGGAGGGAAGAGCAAAGCCAGGGACTCGGGGGTCTCACCAGTGACAGGGATTCGCTGTGCGGGCAAAGGTGGACCCCGAGATAAAACAGAAGGATTAGAAGATACTAATTTTTAAGGCACCAGCTGCCTTTGCACGGGGGCAGGACTAACCCATGTGCACCAGCTGCCTTTGCACAGGGGTGGGACCAACCCATGTGCACCAGCTGCCTTTGCACAGGGGTGGGGCACACTCCTGTGAGCCAGGAAGGTGGCAGGTCGTGGGGCAGGGCTGTGGGCCAGATCCCATGCGGCGAGTGCAGAGCAGGGCCCCATGTGCCCTAGTGCACAGGCCAGGCAGGGCAGCAGGCGTAACACTTGCCTGGTGCTGGCAGGATTGGGGAGGGGAGCGTTTGCCCAGGAAGGCCAAGCCCTGCCTGAGCACCCTGGGGCCTGCCTTTGCCTGGCCTGGGTGGGCCCTAGGCTCTGCCCCGGACAGTGTGGGGCCACGGGTGCACAAGAACCATGAGAGCTGGGGCTATGCCTATGCCCTCCCCACCCCCGCATACTGCAAGAGGCCTGTGCCTGGCCCCCAAGGCGTCCCTTTGTCAGTTCCAAGCCCACGCCCACCCAAAGCCACGAGGGGCTGGGAGGCAATTGTGTCTCCACCGCTCCCTGGAAGCGGGGCGCTTGTGCGGCTGCTCAGGAGAGATTCAAACGCCGCCCGGCTGATTGGCAGCCCGCAGCCAGGGCTGTGTCTCTGCGGGTGGTGCACACCCGCACAGCCCTTGTGCACAGAACAAAATGTATTCTGCACGTGGATGGAAAAGATTAGCGGGAACGTCGCCCCCAGCCCGTTCCAAGGGCCAGTTCTATGGCTGTGATGGGTCAAATCCGGCTCGGAACTGCAATGGAGCAGCCTCCCCTCCCAGAGTCACCCCAAACCCCAGGCCAGAGCCAGATGGGCGCGGGGTGCAGATCTGTTCTGACCCCTGGAGAAGAGGGGCGCTGGGCAGCTTGGAGTGATTTCCTGCAGGAAGGAGGGCCCATGGCTCAGGGAAGCCTCCTTCCCAGCGCCCCGGGGGCAGGGACGGGAAATCATGGAGGGTCTGTGTGTGGCTGCCTTCTGAGCCTGGGGCAGACCGGGCCCTCCCCCTCCCTCTCCCCACGGGCGCCCCAGCCACACCCGCACCCAGGGGCTGCCCAGCCCCGGCTCTTAGCCCGGGGCG